CACAAACAGCACCGTTCGCAAAATTTTGCTTCCGTTCGTGAACTCCGTATCGGGTGACGAACAGGATCCGCGGCCATTTTCCCTGCTGTGACACATGGTTGTGGCTTCCTGTAGGGAGGGGGACTCTTCCTCCAAACAATAACGGCCTCCCCACCCGCCTTCCTGTCCTCCATGCCAGAAGTCGCTTCGAGCAAGGTTAGTGTTCTCTCTCTTCATACTGTACTGTACTATACTTTGTTTCATATTTTTGTGGTTTAAAAAAAAATACATATAGTTCAGAATGGATTAACTGTAATTACATTGAACCTTATGGGTAAATTTGATGTGTTCTCTCTCTTCATACTGTACTGTACTATACTTTGTTTCATATTTTTGTGGTTTAAAAAAAAATACATATAGTTCAGAATGGATTAACTGTAATTACATTGAACCTTATGGGTAAATTTGATTCAGGTCGCGACCAAAATCGGTTGGTGACCAAATTCGTAGGGGTCAGAATGGATTAACCATATTTACATTGAACCTTATGGGAAAATTTGATTTGGGTCGTGACCAATTCAGGTCGCGACCAGAGTCGTGGAACGAATTAAGTTTGTGACCAAGGTACCACTGTATACGTAAAATTTCAGGGGAAAAAACTATTTTGTCAACTTTTAAATTGCAATCATTTATCTTTTCCCTTTTCATTTGTGGAGAATGTAAACATTTCTGATAATAAATAATTTGTATCTGTCCTTCCTTTGCAGGTATACTTGGGTATTTTAGAAAATGCATCTTTTAACAGTGAAATTGAAAGCTTAACTAAACTTGCAAAGGAAGTGAAAAAGAAAAATATCTTACTTTATGGTCTCTTTATACAGTATAAAAAGGTATGAATTGCAAAAATCTGTATTTATTTGTGTTTTGTGACATAGAAGTAGTCCTCGGGCTATGACGGCAATTGGGACTGGAATTTCCATCACTAAGCAATGCGGTTGTAAAGTACAATGTCATGTGACCTCATCGCTTAGCAACGGTAATCCTGGCAGTCCTGGTTGCTGTTGTAAGTCCAGGACCATGTGGGTCATTAAATGAGGACCTCACGTGATTGCAATGTGAGAAGAGGCAAGCAGGCTGAGGGGTGAGAGCTATGGGTGGGTGCTAGGGAGTGGGTGCCGCGGGCAGGTGTTAGGGAACACAGGTGGGTATGTGCCACTGCCCCGCATGGAAGGGGCTGGGGCCGCGAGTCCTCGGCATCACAATCCTCCCGCCACAATCACCAGGGAGCTTCCTTGGTGCCTCCCCCACATGTGGCCAGGATGCCTGGCGGCTACTCAGCCAAGGACTTCCCATGCAGTAACACGGATGGAGGGGGATGTGTCAGCGAGAGTCAGAGTGCCCTGCACAGCATGGCGGACAGAGCCCCTGTGTCATATGGCTTGAGGCCAGCTGGACTTGGCGAGCCCAGCGAAGGGGAGGCAGGCAAAGAAGATGATGAATGCTTTAAAATAATATATTTCTATTTCTGACACCTATTTTATTGCTTTAAAAAACAATCATGATACATACATGCTGAAGTAAGAGTATAATTTAAAAGAGGCAAGCTTAGATTTCCTTTATTGCATAAATAATTTTACTAAAGTCAGTGGAATACTAAGAGCATGGGTTGTGCATGAGAAAAATTGTAAAAATTGTATGAGTTTTATGATGGGAGTGGGGTTCTTCAAAGCCTTTCACAACGATCACACATTGCATATATGAATATGCCACTTGATATTCTTCCTCTCTCTTCTACCTCAGGATGAATGCAAGGAATCTAACTAATTTAAATAGTTCTAAATGCTTTATTATATACTTTGGGAGTCCTGATCAAAACTTTAATAATTAAATTTAATTAAAACAGCATAGGTTATCAGTAGCAGAAAAGGGCATAGAAAGACATGTTCAATGACTAAATAAAAACTAGGAATCTGAATGTCTCCTGCATGGGTCACTTGCATGACATGATGAACAAAATATATTTGCCTTTCATGCATTATACTTTTGTGGAGATTGCCATTTAAGTTATGCCAGTGTAGTGTTGTGAAAGTGTTGGAATTGTTTTTCCCACTTAATCATGGTGATTGAATTAGGTGGGTGAGTTTGGGTCAGTTACTGTAATTTAGTTCAATTTTCCTTACGGCATTGTTGTGAGGCATGTATTGACTTGAGAACTAGGAGGAAGCAAAGAAAGTTATAAAAGCTGTCAGTTTAGATGTAAATCTGTGTTTTAGCTGTTCAGTTTAAATTAAAAGTCTAAAAAGACTAATTAACGTTTGAAATACTTGTTTTATAAAGGCAATTTTTTCTTTTATTAATCTATTTTCAAAGCTTTCAAGTGAGAATGTAAGAGCTCTTCTCGATCAGGCCAAAGGGTATCTGGTCCAGCATTCTGTGTCATATGCATCATATGCACTCAGGAAGCATCTAGGCATGGACAGAAAGACATTAGCCCACCTTCACTGGTGCTTCCTACCAGCTTGGAATTTAAGCTTTCCTGCCTGTGATTCAGGAGGCAAGTAGCCATTCACAGAAATAAAAAAAGCAAGAAAAGAAAAAGAAGACCTAAGTCCCAGACACACTATAGGACACACTATAGGTGAATATCCATAGAAGCTGGCAGCTGAGGACTAGAAGAAGCAGGAGGTGAAAGTCTGAAGTATGATGGTGAAAAGAAGCTTAGCAAATAGAGACCTTCCAAAGCCTGGCAGCAGGGCTCTCAGGTGACCTAGAAGGCTTTGTTTTAATAGCAGTCACAGTAGCCACCACAGCAATCCCAGTGACGCAGCAGCACACCAGTGACAGGTGGTATGGCAGGAGAGTTAGAAGGCTGGCAACTTTGTCAGAGCCCAGGGGTGCTGGCACTTTCTTCAGTTCCAAAGCCCAGGATTCTGACTGGAAAGACCCACCTGTACCCACAAAAGAGCCCAGGACCCTCTCTTACGTGGACAGGTGACCTGTAACAAAAAGTAAGTGACTTCAGTTCACAACCCAGTCTGCCACACAAGTGGCTCTGGGACATTGTGGGCTAGGGAGGGTGGGATCAGTAAAGAAATTAAGGATAGAGTAAAAGCAAAATGTAGCATAGAAAAAAAAGTTATAATACGTAGAACCATAGAGTATGAGTGCTATACAATATAGACTTATACATAAGGAGTTCTAAACTTCATAAACATGGATAAAAAAGAGAAGTCATAGATAATACAGAATAATAGATAATAGAATAAAACACTGTATGTAAGTTTAAGTAATAAGTAAAATAAGAAAATAGAGATCCAACATTTTTGAGGGGGGGGGGTTGTAAGAATGTTTTATTTTGTATTCTATATATAGAAAAAATATGATTGGTTTGGTATTACAGGAATCATCAACCATTTGAGAAATAAACCTGTATATTTTATAGGTCTGGCTGTGAGTTGTGGTAATTGAGAATTAAAGTATTACCTTACTATAACTACTTTGATTTAACCTAATTGGAAAATGGTTTACCTGCATTGAAATGTATAAAATGCATACTATTCCATAGCTATCTTCAATAAATTATAATGGTGAGCAAGTAAGTCAAAAATACACTGTCATTGACTTGCTGAGTTGCTGATTCATGTACAAGAATAAGAAAAGTTATCCAAATGGAGTTTGGAAAAAATTATACTATCTTTCTGGTAAAAATCTCAACCAAAATGCAATTGCTCAAATATTTTGACCGTCAGTGAGTTTTCCTTTATAAACCCTCAAGCATAAATATCACATGTCTTCATCAGTCAACAGTGATTTTATTAATATAATTACAGTAACAGGTAATAGATCTTCATTTTGTCCTAATTTATAATTATAAATTTATTGCCAAAGTTCTAACACTTTATATTGACACAAGACATTCATCTACCTGCTCATGCATGCATCCTGAAAATGCAGATGTTCAAAGCATTTTTCACTGAACAAGAATATGTTCATAAGTACTTGATATATAAATGATAGCCCTCTTCTTTTTCAGAAATGACAGACTCCTAATAGTTCTGAGTTCATATCGGTTCTAAGCAGCCTTCCCAAGAAACAAATCCCACTGAATTCCACATGTTGTCAGTGGACAAGACTGTGACTGCACCCATTGTCCCTGTTTTTATGAATGCTTATGCATGTTTAGAAGAATGATCTTTAACATTTTCATTTTCCCTAAATAGAATACACACACACACACACATTCAGTTGCATGGATGTAACATGCAATGTAAATTAAAGCCATTATAGTATTCTGTGCAAAGAAGAATATGTACTGTATGTGTTACTGGCCAGCCTTCCCCAATTTGGTGCCTGCCAAATATATTGAGAACAACCAGAATTCCTAGTTAAAATTGATAAAGGTCATTCTTAAGAATTCTGGTAACAGTTTATATGCACCATGGACATGGTGGGGGAAGCCACTGATAATTCTGTGGCATATAAAGGCATTTTATACCTTCTTTCATGAAGCACTTACTATAACTGACTTAGCTATAATATTTGGAGGGAGAAAATTACTCATGTGGAATGTTATATCAATTTTCTGTTTTAATTTGTAAGGCAAGTCATTCTTTTTAGATTAATCATGAAGTTAAATTAATTTTACTGATGAAATCTTAACATAAAACAAATGTACACTCGTTCACAAAGAAATTTTGAAAATTCGTTATTTCTTTATCACAATTAAAACCACTAATCAGCAAAACAAAGGAACAAATTAATGGGCATAATAGGAGAAATTTGGGAAATGCAATAACAGTTACACTTGCTCAAGGAGTATACAAGAATGGTGTGGAGGTGACAGAAGTTATACCCTGGCACATGGATTTGATCGCATTCTGAGCAGCTGTTTTGCTAAATCTCCGTTAAAGAGTTGAATAATTCACTAGTTTGAAGAAAAGTCCATAAGTGTCACATTATTTAATCTTCTGGGTGTGTTCTGTCTGAATTAGCATGTTTATTTGGCAGAAATATCACTAATCAATAAAAAGTATCTTGTCATAAAAGCCTTTCTTAGCGTTGTTTTAAAGCTTTCTTTGTTTCTTTTGTGTAATTTACTCTTGTGCATTTATTCAAATCAATACTAGTAAGATTCTGGCAATGTTGAGTAGTAGTATAAATATAAACAAGATGTGTGAGTGTATAATATTGAAAGCAAAACTTCTCTGTTACCTGCTGCTTCTGTTACTGGTCTTTCCCACAAACATCCATAATGGTCCATGCCTTTGTGTTCCTAATTTTTTAAAATCAGGTTGCTTCTGGTATATTTGTTGAGAAGGAGCTTGAAGTTTAAGCTGTCAGCTAGTGAAAGATGCAAATATTCCAGAGATAATTGCTGTCACAGGAGAAAGATGTTATGATGCTTCTGTTTCTCTATATGCAGCATTGCTGTCTAGGCTGTATACATTGCATATTCTGACTTAAAGAAGAAAGGACAAGGAGGTATCTCGCCTTTCTGGATACAAAGTGCAGCACTAGTGGGTTTTAAAACAGGTGATTTTGGGTTTTTTTAGAATTATTAATGCTATTCAGAAAATACACTTTTTCCATCTTGGTGTCTGGGGAAAAAATATGTGTGTGTTGCTTATGAGGATTGCAAGGATATGACTCGTGAAGTGACATTTCTGGAATGGCTCAGGCTGTAATAGCCCATCCTTATGGTGGCAGTGCGGAGGCTTAAAAAGGAAAATTGGCTTTGCAGCATATTTTGCCAAAAATCCATGAAAAATGGTGTGTGAAATGTGACATTCTTGCCATTGAATTTCACCGGACCTTCTGGTGGCTATGAAAATGGAGGTTAGGGTCCAATGGCATGTGGCTTGTGAGCTGTTAGTTGTCCTATCCAGGCTTA